AATAAAAATTTTATACATCTTGTATCAAAGCTTTTTGAACCCCACGTAGTTACCATTAGTAGGGATGAACATAACGTTTTTGTTTCAATGCTTAATGCGAATTAACGAGTATCCTTCACTTGGCTTTCCGTTTGTGATATGCGCTGTATATTCAAAAAAGAGATAATGCTTATTTTTTGACAGAAAATCCAATAATCAATGGAAAGTATATGATGGAAGGATAGATAATAAGTCAGGAGTATGAATATACATGTTGGATTGAGAACTGAAATTCACATAGTCCAGTATGTATACCGTTTATTTGTGAAGTGCGTAGTTGTAGAATCCCCAACTATAAACTAATGATATTAGCTAACGAAATTACAACTGTTATGTCGTTCCAACAACAGCTATCTAACTATTGATATATGTTAGCATCAAAAAACGAATTACATTACAGTCTGTCTCGTTCTGGTGTTGACTGCGTTATACTGACGCATAGATATTTTAAGCGTAGAAAAATACGATGAATGACAAGTGACGCAGCCAAGGTATAGCCTGCGAGGGTGCCGAGACATAAACTGATCAGTTAGACTCGTAAGAAAGTCGCCGACGCTTTGAGACAAATCGCATTCTCCCGTCAGCGTTTTCTAAAATTGCATCTTGGGTGATGATTATTATTTACTTCTTTGTACATAATGTCTAATATTGAAGAAACAAGAAGAGCCCAAGCTGCAATGCTCGCCTGGCCTATGCAACTGTTTAATATTCTCCTTAAGGATTACTATTCGATTCAGAGCTTGGGCCAATCCGGTTCATTTCATCGACAAGAAGTCGTTATTTGGCGTACGCAATACTGTATTCGTACAAAACTACTTTCACCACGTTGATCAACGTCTTCGAAAAGCACTTCTTATTGTCAACTTTATTTATTTACGGAAATTAAGATTCGGACGCTCAATTATGGCACAGAGTCCAAGTATATACTATTAACCATTAGATTTTTATCAATTACATCACATGTGTCCGGAAGCTTTCGTTAAGTGAACGTACATAGGACATTTTCTATTAGTTTTCATATGTCCGAGTTCACCACAGTTTCCACATCGTCTCTGTTTAGGGAAAAAGCACACAAATTTAGCCCAACAGCAAAATAATGCAACAGGCTTCTATCATGCCGTTACCAAAACTTCAAATACCGTTGTATATGAAAAGAAAGTTCTTACAACTTGTTCGGTCTTCTTTTCCTTCTGTGGCACAGCGCTTGTTTCTCCAGAAACTGTTTGACGCGCAGCTGCCCGTTGCATGCGACGCTCTAGATTCCTTTTAAGTTTTGCCAATTGATCTTGTATTCTATTTTTGATATCGTTTTAAACGATGTTGTAAATAAACTTGCAAACTTTACTTGCGCTTTATTCTCGTAGAATAACAAATGATACCTCTTTCTTAGACGTTTATTCTTTTCTTCGTCGTCCGTTGGTTCGAGAAATTCCGCACTGTGTCACAACAGTAAATATTGTGAGTTAATGCGCTCTATCTATCTGCGACTACCTTTAATTACCTTGTTGCCTGCTCTTCTATCATCTGTCGATGTCTAATATACGCGTTTATTACCGCAGGATCAGTAACCTCTTCCACATGCCATAATTCTTCACCATCGCTTGATTTCATCTATGTGGAGAAGACATTAAAACTTGGAATGAAGGATATCACACGATGTGTATAAAAAATAATAAAATAAAAAAAAAAATTTAACCTCTTAAGCCATCGATCAGCAACAATAAAACTACGAGAAGCAGAAATTCCCACTTTGTTCTTATTATAATAATGAGTGTATTAATTGCTAATTCGACGGCGTCTAATTAAAAATTCATTATTCTCGGCTTCGATGAATGAGTCCAATAGTAAACATAGACTACGAATTTTTATCGAAGGGTCGGTAGACTTATTTAATATCAATATTATAATTGACTAAGCTCGATATGCTACAACAATTTAACGCAAGTCTTTAATTGTCTTGAACATTAAATAGAGTTCCATAAATATAACACAGCAAATGCGTCTATTACATGCAAAAAGTGTTATCATTGTTCTAAGAATACCTTAAAAAGGGACAACTGTGGCAAACATTTCTGCAACCCAGTATGTACAGTAACTGAGCTGTTTATTGATTTGCGTGGAAAACTTGTATTGCAGTGAATCAACCGGTCACATTTCTTTGTGAATATGAAGGGGCAATGCATGATATGCCGAATAACAGGTCGTCACGTAACGGCTGTTTACGTTATCTTTGTCAACGAGATAAACTCGAACTGCTTATATCACATATGACATTTATTGGCTGATAATCAACTTATTATTGTAGGGATATACGATCTCGTGCACAAGAAGACAATTACACTAGTCTTCCGCAGAATGAAACGACGTCAAAAGACAAAAGCTAAAATTTAAATAGATATCGTCCTCGCTAAAGTTTTTCGGAAAGTAAAATATTTCTTCGCCAATGTCAACTATGCTAACGTCTCACTCTGCGCGGTATTATCATTACGGGAAACCGGTGACGTTGCAATTGCATTCTCTTGGCTGCTAAATTTAATACTATACAAAGGAAATGGTAAATTCAGTCAGATGACCACAACGTCATCTATTTTTATACCAAAAAAGTAAATAGGTAATATCGTGGCGACGTTTGCTCTTCCATTTCTGCTTAGCGGCAACAAAACGTCTGTGTCGTAATAGTCAACTTTCAGCTTCCATTATCGACACCATGGCAACTTCAAGCACACAAAAAACACTCGAGGCGACATCCCGTTTACAAATTAAGGAACAATCTATTGAAGAGATGTATGGCGTACCTGAAAATTTTCTCGAAATTGAAGTACGAAATCCGCAGACTCATGGTAAGTCTTCCCGAGCATGACTAGACCGTTGTCGGAGAAGCACTAAGTGCAATTTCTCAGTCTGAATTGTTTACAGGCTTTGGCCGGAAAATGTATACCGATTACGAAATTGTGTGTAGGGTAAGTATGCGCAAGACATGATATTATGGTTCGATTATTATCAATTGTAAGATTTGACACATTTTGCTATGGTTATAGACGAATATTCCTGCATTTAAACTTGAAAAATCATCTGTCAGAAGGCGCTATAGCGATTTTGAATGGTTCCGTGACGTTTTAGAGCGAGAGTCATCAAGGGTGAATATTCCGCCACTGCCAGGCAAAGTGTTCACCAACCGTTTTTCAGACGAAGTCATTGAGACTCGACGCGAGGGACTCGAGAGATTTCTTCAAATGTATGTGATATTGCCTTTTACGATTTGACATAAGTTGGATATTTGGGGTCTTGGTATTCTCTAACAATGCGTCTTGTCTATGTAGTGTTGCCGGTCACCCTCTTTTACAAACTGGTAGCAAAGTCCTTTCGGCCTTCATCCAAGACCCCAATTTCAGTCGCGAGAACTATTCTTATTAGTTCTATGATTTGTGAAGAGTGTAAAGTGCTTTGATTAGGGTATTTGGTCATTTGTACATTTTATTTTCTTGGATCAGCGTTTTTTCCATAATGTAACAGAGTATATTTAGGAAGTGTTTTGTTTCTGAAGAAGAGATTGTCTCAGCTTGTCTTACACTAGATGGTTTGTTTTTCCAACTTTGTTCAATAAAGGTACTGTTTATTTGTTTCTATTTACTTACTCCATGGGTTTCGTTAACAAGAGGCATTGGAAGTGACATGATTTACAGGAAATCGCGAATTTTGGTATGTTCTTTCTTTACTCGTTGTCGTCCTTTCCGATATGGGCTGTATTGAAATACCCCCGAGATATTTATTTGAAAGTAACGCAATCCGACAGTAATGCCGAAGGAGGACAAGGTAGCATTATGATTTTCAGAGCATGAGCCTAGAAGCTGTCTGTAAACACTGACAAGGACGGTAAAGCATAGGAAGCAGCATCTATCGGCTGGAGAAATATTTGCCCTTCAAATACGTTAGTTGAAAGATTATTAGTCTAGCCTGATAATGCTAATCGGAAGCGTCAAAGAAACCCGTCTTTTTATGTCACGTCGCAATTACGATCTGGAAACAACTTTGTAACTTTTTTCGGTTCAGATTAAACCGGATTCTTCGTATAGACAATGAATGTGATGCTTACTTATGTAGATACTCATTGTTTAGAATGGTGAACAGTATAATGTCGTACTATAAATATGGCAACTGGTCAATCGGATTGAAGAATTTCGGTAAAGCCCTGAGGGAAATAATTACTCTATAGCAGTCATATCGCAGACACGAAAATAATTACAGTTTATTAAATTCTCTAAATAGTAAATAGGTAAATAATTTGTGAAACGTCTACTTATAAAAACCCTTATTCACGATACTAATGAACCAAAGTCGAGTGTATTGTTGAAACTGGCTCCGTTTTATTATTACTACTAATTGCATACTTCAAGGCGAATAAGATTCTCTTAGGTGTACATATTATCGGTCTATCCTTGAGCCCGGAGCATCCGTATATGTTGAATCCCCTTTTCATTCTATTCAAATGTTCTGCTTCTATAATATTAAGGGGCAAACTACTCAGCCAAAACCATCAAAAGATATCATCTTTCGAGAGCAGTTTGTTCAAAGTTTCTAAGCGCGCGAAAGGTTACCGTTAAACGCAGAAGCCTGCGATCAAATTTAACTTCGTGACAAATAAAAGTGTAAAACTATATCGAAACGCGTATCTTGGGAGGGGAAACAAGATTTGTATACAAGATAACAAATGACCGATTCAACCTTGAACTTCATATCAGAGACGGGAGCACGCGGTTATATGGGCTTTATCTTTTGTATTCCAAAAATCTTTACAATTAAATTTTGAACCTCTCCTCGCATTCTCTTTTCTTCTTTTTTGCCTCTTTCTGTTTCGGATGTTTCACCAGAGCGGAAGAATCTATATCTGTAAAATAAATTTGTCTATTAACAATAATAATCATGGAAAATTTTATTCGCGATAATCTATTTTGGCTGGCGGCAATAAAACACTATTACTATTTAAACATACTATTTACTGTTGGATTGAAGCATTCAGAGCCAGGCAATCAAGCATCAAAGATGGACCCTCCGTTCTGAATATTTTACATATTGGAACACTAATATTATTGAAGATGCCTATCTCAATTGGAAGTATTAAAACCGCTTTGCATTAGCATACGTTGGGAAGAACGCTTCCTTATCTTTTTATGGTCTTAATCTGGCTCTGCATGACTATTTTCCATTTTCGAA